CTGACGGTTTTTACCGGGCTGACCAAGCCGTCGTACCGGGCTGGGTAATAAGAGAAAAGAAAGAGGGGAGAGGGAGGGAAAAAGAAAGAAGAGGAAAAGAAAAATAAAAAGAGAAGAGAAAAATAAAGACAAGAATGTATAAGATAATAAGAATATATAAGAATATATAAGAATAATAAGATATCATAATGACCAGACCCTGCAACCCATTCTCCAATTCAAAAATTGTCATAACTCCTTTGATCTATGCTGCCCGATGGCATAACCACTGGGAGACAAGGGGAAAATATCTATCTTTGAAAAATCTTCCCCACCTCTTTATAAATGCCCTTTTCATCCCCTGAAAGTGCCTAAAAATCTTAAATTTCGCATTTCTTGTTAACATGGGCCAATTTCCTCTAAAAATTGCACATTTTAGGGAGTTTTGATCAATTCCAACGAAATTAGAATTAAAAACACTGGGGGACAAGGGGAAATATCCATCTTTGGAAAATCTTTCCCCACCCCTTGACAAATGCATCCTCTGAAAGTGCCTAAAATTCTATGCGCGCATTTCTTGTTACGGTAGGCCAATTTCCTCTATAAATTGCACATTTTAGGGAGTTTTCACCAATTCCGACGAAATTAGAATTAAAAACACAAAGATATATTGCGCGCTAGGCGCGCATTTTTTACGGCTTTTTTAGGTTTATACTTTTAAGTTATTTAAACACATAATAGTCCCAAACTCAAGAAAAACAAATTTAAGATAGATCGTTTTAACCTAAAAGAAGGGCCTCAATGTGTATTGATGGTGAAAGAATATGTTTGTAATAAACAAAACCAGGATGAAAATGCTTATATTTAGTTTCAAACACACGTGTGTGGCCTATATTATAAATACGAAAAGCCCTATGTCATATTGTTTTCTATATGGGGAGTGGGGTGGGGTGGGGTGGGTATGGTAAATTACTAACCGGGAAAATAAATACCCACTCTGACCCAAGACCCCTGTTACGCGCCTGGTGTTCGCGCCAATGTGTGCCCTTGTGCGGACAGGGGATGTGCCCCACCTCCCTCTTCTGAAGCTGGAAACCTTCTTTTTGCAAAATAAATTGATGTAATTTGCTATTATAGGCCTAATTAATAAATTCCTCATAAACCGATATAACCTTAAACATTCTTGGAATTGACATAACATTATTGATGTCGTACACACCCTTCAGTGTGAAATGTGACTCTCTTTGCAAGCACATCTAACATCTAAGGAAAGCTAAGAAGAGCTCAGATTGGTACCAGATAAAATAATTTTGTTATCAACATTAATACATTATGCTAATTTTCATCTTTGTAAGCACATAAGACAGTGCAAATTATTTCTGTGACAGTCTTTTGAAGTTTGTAAAGCTCCATTTCATCCCATACATAGTCAAAATATTGGGGGGGATGTTACAATGGACCATCCACAAGGGGGAGGATATATCCCCCATCCTCCGGGATCTACGCCTATGTATATAACGCATCTTACCTAACCATTCTTCAAAACTATTTATTTATTACACAGGGGTGATGTTAGCGGGAACCCCTAGTAGGACAGATAAACCACAAGTCGTCGAGGAGAAAAAAATACATATGTATTTTTTACACAGGCCCCTATTAGTAGACTCTGAAATCAATTAAATAAGCCTTTGAAACACCTAAATTGTCATATTTTTTGGGGGCTCAGCCCCCTGCACTATGTAGCACCTCCTAGGGATTTTGAGCAGCGTCCGGCCATGTCCATTTTTTTTTGTCGGGGACATTGGACACCCCCTACCCACCCGTTGGGCTACCTGGTGCTACCCCTAATATTATATTGATTTAAATATTTATCTGAGTCTAGCAATATATTTTAGCTTTTTATTTTGGTTGTTTAATGTACAGTATTTAATCATATTTTTGTTATGTAAATATATTTAGGCCTACTTGATATCCAGATCTGCATAACCAAAAATTCAGTCCTAGATTTAAAAAACATGAAAATGTCATACAACTGTAATCAAACAATAAGGAAACAATGTATTGTATATTTAATTTAATATGCCAAATTAATACAATAAAATATTACCTTTTAAAATAAGGAATAGGCACAGTATTATTAAATCATGTTTTTGTTAAAAATTACAGTAAACAAACTGTGTAAACTGAATATTTACTAAACAGACCTAGGCTTAATCTGGGGGTTTATATATGTGGAACCCTTATAATTGTTGATTTATTATAATTATTTATTTTTTATTTTTATTATCAGTGCTAGTAATATTATTTAAATATACAATTTTAATAGATAACATGGACATAGCAATTCATACTTAAACAATACATTAAATTTATATATTAATATGATAACGTTAACGAATAAATAACAATAACTAAACCGTGTACATAGTGTATCACTACTGCAATAATAAGATTAACATTTTCAATCTTATAATAAATTTTATACAGCCGGTGTTATGTATTGACCTAGGCTACTATGGCTAATGACAGGTACGCTTTCACCATTAAAGGCTTTTTCTATGAATGGAATGACCTGTACGGAACACAAGCTCCTGTAGACCAAACCCAGTACCGTTACGATTTTAATCGTACGGGAAATATCCTCAAGAAGAATTATTAGGACCAAAGTTATTCCTTGCTTCTTTTACTTAAAGAAATTTGCTCCCAAACCCTTTTTACTACAAGAGATTATACCTCGGCCCACATAATAATTCCCCCCTGTATAAAATTCCCACTTATTTCTCTTCCTCCTCTTCATCACATATCCAACCTACACTTGAATATGCTACTCTTGTCTTTGGCCTTTTTATCTAAATGTGGTATTTATTATATTTGCCAAATTTTACCATCTTCTCTAGATTCAATATAATTAGGTATAAATATAATTTGAGTGTGGGGGGAGGGGGCAGGTTTGTTGATATACTAGATAGATAAAAAATTATTTATTTATTTATACCCAATCTTTAACCAGGATGGCCCAATCAGTCAAGTAAACTGGTCTCCCTTGGGGCCCTTGGTATACAAATTTTCAGAATATAGATTAAAATATCATTTATCTAAACATATAAAAAATAAAAATATAAATTAACTGTGTAGACACAGAAAGAAGCATCTATTGTGTAGCAACTAAACACTAAACCATAGCAATGTATATTTGCCTTATCTCTACATGTAATTTTTTTTACCAGATGAGTGTGGGCAGCTTTGACAGCTGTGTACGAAAATAAAATTATCTTTATAGTGTGATAAATTCCAGTTTGCACAATGCCAAATTTCTGACGAATATCAGAGACCCAACAATCCCTAATTGATGAATGCAGAATCACTGACATCCACTAAGCTGAAAACCAGTTTCCCGATTCAAACTGTAGTTATTGTAGGTTAGGGTTAGGGAATGCAAGTTTCCTGACAGGATCAAGGCCCCCCCCCCCAAATCCTTTGCTAGCAAGATACTGATTACGCTGGATATAACGATGGTCACAGTAATATCCACTTTTGCCGGCCTACCTGAAAGCATATAATTTGATATGTAGTATGATTCTGTTACCCAATATTTGATAGCTATCCTTCCCTCTCAATTGGCAGGTGTCAACAATGTGGGGGTTTAAGGTTATAAGAATCAACAAGTGTATTTTCTTGTCAATGATCACCAGATGTTCTGAACATGGAACGATTATTCAAATAATGAAAATTTTGCATTTGGGAAACACTGGTGAATTGGATTGTTTAGATATTCATTTATAAAAATTATTTTGACAGACCTCATATAAATGTGAAACTATGAATATTTAATTTCTATGTAACAAATCAAGTCAAAATACTGTGTAGCAGCATTGGCTTAATGGGGAGTGGCAGACGGTGCTTATTCCTACTGCCTCAACTCACCTAACCAGTGGCGTAACACTCATGCACTCTTGTGCGACGGTCCGCAGGATCCCTAACCCCTAAGGGCACCTTACCACATGGTCTTGATCCAGCACCCTTACCCAAAAGGACTTTGTTGATACACAACAACATAATGTGTCTCTGACGTGGACTGTATATAATATTATATCCAGTGGTGAATTAAAGGGGCCCCTAAATTTTTAAATTTTAAGTCTGTGAGTGCCATTTCCGGCCATTCAGAGGGGCCATAATCATAAATTTTCTTACCTCAGCCCTAACCATGGTGGGGCTGTGGTGACCCTTTATCAGTAAAATTCTCCCTGGGCCTATATTCAACATTCCTGGACTCGCCATTCATATCATATCATTTACTTTTGTCGATGAAAACATTGAGAATGCAATAATTAAGTAAGCACATCCCACATTGAAATTGGCGACCGGGACACAAAAGGCCCCAAACCAACAATGCTATATTTGGATAACAGCAACCACAGGACGGTTTCATGTTGATATTTTTGATTGTCCAGAAATAAATACAAATTTATATATTATTAATGAGCATACAAGTTTATATATTAATAAATTTTTTCTCACTCGGGTGTTCTTCCATTGTGGTATTAGACAGCCAAATATGTGAAAAGTTATCGTGTTGAGCTGGGCCTCCATTCTGTCCTTATCTGAGAAGACTTGGTTCTACCCATGGGCTAGGAGCGGCTGGAACCAGTGCCTACGTTAAGGCTCTATTTAGCGGCGCCCCTGCCTTACCGCTCGGCCACTCGACTTCTTATTCATTTTTACAAAACTATTTTGACAGACCTCATATAAATGTAAATTCTATAAATATTAATTTCTGTGTAAAGCATACTACCAATGCATAGAAGTAACACATCAAGTAAAAATACTGGGTAGCAGCACTGGCATATCTAGGGAGCAAAAAGGTGCTTATCCTCCACCTTCACATCACCTAACCAACAATGTCATGTTTACATAAGCAACCCTCAGGACTGTTTCATATTGATATTTTATATTGTCTAGAAATTAATAAACTCATGACGTTTCTTGAAAACACAAGAGCATATACAAGTTAATATAAATAATGCATTTTAATTTAATCATTTCAGATCAAAATGTATCTTGCAATTGCGGAAAAGGAGAAAAAGGTGAACAAGCTACCACAATCAGCCAGCCCAAATCTGCCTTCTCAGTTGGATATAATGTAGACCCAGGCCGCCATCCAGTTAGTCCTATGAAATACCCGGTAGTAATTACAAACTTAGGAAATCACTACAATAAAGAAACAGGCAAGTTTATCTGTCAACATCCAGGTATCTATGTCTTTCAGTTTACATCAGGGTCACCTAACAGTAATACCAACTTTGCAACAAGCATCAAGAAGAATGGGCTACGCATTGTCTCAGCATATGAGTATGGTTCAGGCCACAAATCAGCCAGCAACATGGTAGTTCTTGATTTAGTAGCAAATGATGAAGTGTGGACTGAGCCTCTCAGTACCAGCTATAACTATTACTACAGTAATGTCAACATCTTCTGTTCTTTTTCAGGCTTCCTGCTTTATGCATCTGCATAAGGAAATTTCGAAAAGCTAATAATTACAAATTCCAAATTTGTAACAGAAGTTTTCATGAGAAAAAGAACACAAATATGACAATTTTTAGATTTAATTTTTTTTTCTATCATTAATAAATAATGTAGTATTAGTAAAAAGTAGGAATGCTATATTAAGATTTTACCAGCACAGAATATTCACCAAAAGTGCTGAAAGATTTAGCATTAAGAATGTCAGCAGCATTACAGTAAGACATATTAACAACAACATGCCTATACTGGCCTGACACTACTGTGATAGAATATATGGCAATATGATAGGAGGTAGTGATATCTGTATTAATAGCCAAAGCCTGGAAAAGATATTTTGTGCCTCCAACCATGAAAATTATCTTCCTCAAATGCCTGCAGCACCAAATCTTTACACTATTATAGTCAGTAGTACATTTAGTGGTTTGGAGCAAGCATAAATATCAAATTTAATTACCAGTATGCATTAAATTGTGATGTGCTGATTACGCACTTTTTCCAACCCTGTAAATAGCTTTTAAATAATGGTATAGATACAGCAAGCATTCTTTACCAACAATGCAACATCATATTATGATACTTGCTTACATTTTACTAGGACTAGCTGATGTTTTTCTCAAGAAAATTTCTATTATTTCAGTAGTATGAATAAAAGCACTGCAAAAATGACTTAAAAATTATCTGGTTTTAGTCTGAATTTGTGCTAACATCAAGCTTACTCACCAGGATTTTGTTAAAGTGTGGTGAATGTACAATATCATCTGGCATTAAAATCAACCCCAAATTTCACAACTGATATATATTGTGGTATTTTTAGTATTATCCCCTAAAAAAAATTATTTTTATCTTTTGGACTAGTTTTAATGAATATAGGCCTTCTGTTATTTAACATTAATGTTTAATATTTTAAGGCCTGAATAAATAGGCACAAAAAACGTTTATACAGGAATTGTACACACAATAACATATTGGTAATTATTAATCAATGGGAAAAAAAACATCTAATCCTTAAAAAGACAATTTCTCTCAATTTAATTTATGCTTTAAAAGCACAATTCGTCGGGGAGAAAAAAAAATTATATGTATTTTCTACATATTAGTAGACTCTTAAATCGATTAAATAAGCCTTTGAAACCCCTAAAGTTAAAATTTTCAGGGACTTCACCCCCTGGATCTCTTTCGAAACCTTTTAATCAAAGCTCGACCACACCCACATTGCTTTCGTTGGGGACCTCGACCCCCCGTTAGGCAAATCCTGGTGCCACCCCTGTAACTTGTAACATGCGAAAACATTGAGAAAGTGCATTCATTTGACGAACGCTAAAATGGATACCTCCATGGTTATACAGTGCAAATCATGAGGTGGTTATACAGTGCAAGTCATGAGGTTGCAAAAAAAAAAAAAAAAACTCTTTTTTATCAGAAATAATATTACCTAAACTAACTGCAATAAATACATCTGCTCGTTTGTGTTACATCCACCATTTTTCAGCACTACTTGTGCAAATCGAGGAATTGGGAAACACCGACTTCACAAGTTCTAATGAACGCAGCATTACAGTAACTTGCTTCTCTAAGGGTCTCTACATGTCAACCAGTACTAGCTACTCTTGTCTGTCCACAATAGGGGTTGAATGGACTAGTACACCGGGGTAGCCCCCTACTCATCTTTAAATTGCACATGAGCCAAATTGTGTACACTAGGCTTACGGTTTGTTCGACCCAGCACCGATATTATGGCTGTATGTTGCAGCGCCTCTGCCAACTGCTCAGTCATCCAACTTGCATGGTGTGTGCAGGTATGGCTGATCACCATGGTGTGTATGGTGTATGGAGTTCTGATTACTCACACAGTGTGTGTGTGTGTGTGTGTGAGTGTGTATGGTTGAATCACATGGTGTGTGCAGGTACAGCATGGCTGACTCGCATCCATTATTATTATTTATTCTTTCTTTTGACTGAATACATTTTCTGTACAAAAGTACTGGTCTCCCAAATGGTCCAGTTATTTTTAACAATTTTGGTAATTTTGGCATGTGCTGGTACATGCTTACTCACATGGTGTGTGTATGGTTCACTCACATGGTGTCATGTATAGTTGGTTCACATGGGGTGTGTGTGTGTGTGTGTATAGTTGACTTGCCACAAGTCTCTAATTTATTGATTTTTCGTAGTATTAGCACATTTCAGAAAGCGCCACCAACATCAGTTTATGTCGAGAAACTTTTTTGATGCGAATTAGAAAATCCAAGAAAAAGTATGTACTATGAAACGCCAAGTAAATAGGTAATATGGAATGCCATTGGTGCCAAAATTGATTTTTTTTCCCCAGCTTTTTTACTGATTATAAGACAAAGTTTAGGGACTGGAACCCAGTCTAGGTGTGTGTGTACATGGTTGACATGGTGTCTGCAGGTATGGCTACTCACATGGTGTGTGTAGCATGATTTACACATCTCGGCGACTATCTGTCCATAGACACTAATTGCTGCAAAGCAGCCAATTCATATTCTTGACAGCAATTTGACCTCTGAAAGGTAATTGTTTGTCAAAAAACAAGGGCCTTAGACGACTGAAAAGCGGAGTTTCCTTCTTTCGTTCTGCCGGGTAAAATCAATTACTTTAGGTGACGTGTGTACACTAACATACATGTACCAACGTCCGCATGTCACGCTAGCCTTATCCTATTCTAGGCCTAGACTAGCTAGGATGGTATAGGCCTAGCCTTGAAGGGACGAAGGTCCCAATGAAAAACAAAGTCGCTCCTTGATAGCTAACATTGTCTATTTTACATCACAATAATTCATTATTAGACCTATAGTTGTTTTTTGAATTGTACTCCGAAAAACCGATACCTCGCACAACTCGTTAACGTCTCGTATCTATTGTCGTGACGTCATGGCTTGCTAGCTCACACTTGTGATGTCTCGCACTTGTGATCAAATAACACGCTGGCTCGCACTTTGGCAACACTCTTTGGCAGTCAACTCGCCCTAGAAACAATTGCCCCATAAAAAAATGTACACTTCCTAGACCATGCAGTCTTCAAAATAAAAATTGTAACCTTTGGTAATCAACTACATTTTCCACATACATAGAAATTTTTGAAACTTTATTTAAAAAAACCTAAACCCTAATTCACCACTATAGACACTTTTTGACAAAAATGAAAAATGACGACTTTGTTACCCAATGAGAAGTGTTCTAATATAGAGAATGGGTCGAACATTTATATGCAGTTGTACTTCGCAGCACTTCACTTGCAATTTGCAATTTCTAGTATGTTTCATAGTAACTTTGTTCCTGACATTTCATGAACCTGCCACTACTGTACCTTGACTGGTCATGGATCTCAGTAAAGGTAAAAGGTTTGTTTAATTATCTTTACACAGTCAAGGGAGGTTGAGATGACAAGAATGATCCAGACCCTAATTCCAGAAAGAAATTCTGCACAAATTGTTTATAATTCCAAATATTTTGACAAGCATCATGAAGAATGGGCAATGCATTCTCTCCTCATGGGAGAGTGGTTCAGGCCACAAATCAGTCAGCAACATGGTAGTTCTTGATTTAGTAGCAAATGATGAAGTGTGGACTGTGCCTTACAGTACAATCCATAACTATTACTACAGTAATTCCAACATCTACTGTTCTTTTTCAGGCTTCCTGCTTCATGCATCTGCATAAGGAAATTTTGAAAAGCTAATAATTACAAATTCCAAATCAACAAATTGCAACAGAATATGACAATCTTTTTTAATGACTTTTTATCATTAGTAAATAATATAGTATTAGAAAAAAAGTTGGAATGCTAACTCAATGCTGCATTGAATGTCAGCAGTAATTACAAAAATTCAATTCAATATTTCATTGCTCCAAAAGCTTATCCGCCATACAAGAAACATGCTTTTAGTGGCTTTATATGGCCTCCTATACACACTACAATATTTTCTATATTATATGATAGTGAATACAGGCATATTTGTAGTAAATAGCTTAGATAATAATGCTACAATTATAGTTCAAGGCACAGCAAGCATTCTTAGCCTATGATGTAACATCATACAGTTTTTAGTTCCCATGATTAATAATAAAGTACAATCTGATCATTTTACTAGGACTAGCTAATGTTTTTGGAATTCTCTATTATTTAAGTACTATGAATAAAAGAAATTTAAAAATGAAAAAACATGTTAAAAATTGTTTGGTTTTTGTCTGAATTTGTGCTGACATCAAAGCTCACTCACCAGGATTTTGCAAAAATGTGGTGTGAAAACCAAAGGGCATCAAGTCTACAAATCTCACAACTTCAATATTGGGGTTTTGCATTACCGTCTATAGTCGAACCACCAAAAAAAAAATTCTTCGTTATAATTATATTGCGAAGTAGTTTTAATAAATATATTTTATTCACAAATAATAATAAAATTATGTTGTATGATGTCTATTCACATTATACTGTACTAGTATATAGGTATAGGACAGGTTTTATTCTAGACTAAGAAATTAACACATTGCAGCTTAGCTAAGGCCTGGATAAACA